AAACTTTGAACATTTGTTCTGGTCTATGAAAAACAAATTTTAAAAAATTATTTGGCGCTGGACGTTTTAAGCGCCAAGTCTAAAAATCATGAATACGATTATCAGTGAAGTACTGATGGATGCCCTACTGCATTTTCGAAGACAGAAAGAAAATATAAAAATGAAGCAAACCAAAGATCGAAAAATACAATTCAATCCTGAGACTAAAAATATAGGTTCATGTAATCAAGATTTCAATATAATACTGGTTGTAAACCAATTAAACTTACACAACAGAAGCTAATGGTCTGCCCATTTTCGTATAAGCATGTAAAGCATTATTAGCCAAAACAAAAACAGAATGTTCCATTGGACGAGGTGAAGGAAAGACTTGTTTTAATCCACTATATGGTGTGACAGTTTCAAGTGAATTCACATCCGAAATCAACGGTACAGTAAGCGTTATATAACGTTCCATGGTAGTTGAATAGAATGCACTCATTTGACCCTGAAAAGTATTCACCAAAAAACGTACAATAATTCTAGATGAATAAAAAAAACCTTAGTTGACAGACCAATAGATTATATATATATATATATATATATATATATATATATATATATATATATATATATATTGAATTAAGACTACTAACTTACTGTACGTGTCACACACCAGATTAATTCTTCTAAAGGATCGAAAGCCACATCTGCAATCCGATCAGTTTGAAATAAACAATCCATCATTTGTGTTCCAGCATGCCAATAACCACCTGTTTGGTAATATTCTGCTCCAGTCAAAGTTGGATCATACTGTGCTTCAGCAGGTAAAGTAAGACTAGAATCGCCAACATCATCCTCATCACCAGGTGATATATGCTCATCACATGGATGCGGATGATCAGATGAATCGTTCTCAGTTGTATACGACATAATCTGTTTACACGATAAGTTTGTGTGGAAATTTTACTAAAAATAAAAACAACATCGAAAAACCCGATATACATGTGAATGCTATTTATAAGGCAAAAATGAGTTTTCAATGAATAAGCAGTGCGTTTTAACATTATACCGTAATTACTTTAGCCTCGGCAAACGCATATTGTTAGCCATCATTATTAAACAATTACAGTGTAGTTCAAAGTCGAATATACATGTAATTTGTACTAGTGACATAGTATACAAAATTCTGATGTAACAAATTTTTTAAAAGAAAAACTACACCTTTAGGATGACTGAAATGTGTATTTATTTTAAATAAATAAATACCATTCAACAAAACAACTAATATTCAAGACCCGTTCAAATTATAATAGTTTAATGTCTTAAACCATGAACTTAGTATAATCACTGACAGTGAAGTGAATAATTACTATCATAAATTACACAGAAACCATCTGATCGTATTAAAGTGTTGTACAATGATAACTAAACGTATTTAATGCTTTCTTTAAAATCTTAACTTTACAAATAATGTTAATTTCTAGTTTTAAAACTCCATATAGTATTAAGCATTCTCAACTGGTTAAAAGATGCTGACAAAAATGCTGAGATCTCTCTCTCTCGTTCCCTCACAGTTGGTACATCGTTATTCACTAACCAACTAATTCAACTAGTTATATCACATGATCATTACCAAAAAGAAAAAAAACATTCATGGTTAATTAAAACGACTGATTTATAAAAGTAATATTTCTTAACTCGAAGGAATTCCATCTCGAGAGTGATAAATGGCAGTGTTGAAATTGATATCATGAATGGATCAATGTTAGACTACTATTGAAAACTTAAAAGTACTGGACAGTCGCGCAACATCATAGATTGGTTGAAGTTAGACATTAGCACCTTCAGATGTCGGTTCAATGGTCTAAAGGTTAAGCGTTCGCGAGTGAAACCGAAGGTCTTGGGTTCAAGTCCCGAGTGCAGGATCGTGGATGCGCACTGCTTAGGAGTCCCATATTAAGACGAAATGGTCATCTAGTGCTTCCATGTTTTCAATGGTGGTCTAACATTGATTCCTTCATGATATCAGTTTGAACTCAAGAAACTTCACTGATAAGTAAGGTTTATGATTGAGAACGATTGATAAATTTTATAAAGTATATTTCCTACATTTTTTTAAATTTATTTGTGATGATATATTAAACTAAGTGTGAAAAAGCTATACTAGCTGACTAAGTGTTAAGATACGAAGAAAAAAAGTATATTCCCCAAGACATTTATGTCTAAGTGTGCAGTGTTAATATCTATGTGTGGATAGGATACATGTATATATATCACGAGGTTAACGTCATTTATCACTAACATATAGTTTATAAATACAGATGCATTGCCTATTCCTTAGATTTCAATACACTCAAGTTGAGTCATTGAATTAAACTCTTAGTTATGGATTGTTTGCAATAATTCATCTGAAAAAAAAAACAGATTTTGAGACATAAATTGGATATGAAAGCTAATGATATTATTCGGCTTTCTCCCCCCCCCCAAAAAAAGCAAGATTGAGAATTCGAACTTGTATTCTAGTCACTAAGAAAGTCGAATAAAACATTAAGCGAATAATCCATAAATTATTATTTACAATTTGGTTAGTAAGTCAATAATTGTATGCGGAAAAAAATAATAAGATATTAAACATCAAGAACAAATTTTATTGAATAAACTAGAAGTAAACAAAACATATCACGAAAAAGGGTCTTATATTTATTAAATTAATTAAATCAGACAATAAAACACTCTGTTTATAAAATAATTTAAACAAACAACTACAGTATGGTAACCCTTAGCAACAATCTTTAGATACAACGATTTGATAAAATAAGAACATAAGCAATAGAAAAGTATATCATTTATTTAAAAAAAAAGAGACAATAGTTAAATATAAAATCATTAATATTATCGATATTAGGTAAATTTTAAGTATACAGTTTGAATGACTTTCAGGTGATAATCATTTCGGCTAATCAGTAAACTCTCCTAAGGCAAGTAAATGATTTAATCAAGCTAAGAACTAGGATTAAGATATAATTTCTGAATTATAGCTGATGACGGTTTGTAATGAAAATTCTAGTCCTAACATCCAATTTTAACACCTAACATAGTCTTTCTACAATTCAATTTTCATGTTTGTAGGCATTAATGCCAAGATTAAATTTAGTAGCTTAAAATAAATTGAGCATTGAGTAGAAAGTCAATAATATACATATTTTATGTTATATCCTAACGATTTCAATACTTAAGATCATGAGTCAATTGAAGCTAGACCACCATGGGAAACCTGGAAGCACTGGATGACCGTTTCGTCCTATCGTGGGACTCCCCAGCAGTGCGTATCCATGATCGCACCTCGTGAGATTCGAACCCAGGATCTATCAGACTCGCACGCGAGCGCTAAACCACTAGACCACTGAGCCGGACGAGATCCAACGGTGTTAATGTCTAATTTCAACCAATCCACAAAATTGAGCGACCCATTCACCATTGTCTTCAGAGAGTTATTTTCTCATAACAGACCCGGTATCATGGATGCGCACTGCTGAGGAGTCCCACAATAGGACGAAACGGTCGTCCAATACTTCGAGGTTTTCCATAGTTGTCTAGCTTCAAGTGACTCATGATCTCAACTATTGAAATTACTATAATATCCACAAAACCGCTTCTGATATCCCAATGAGTATAAAATTGTATTCCCAACAATTTGTGACTAACATCAAGTCGCCAAACGTCAGAAATATAATTTTCCCCTCATTGGAATATCACAAAAATATATTTATTATCAATTTTTAAATAATACTTTGATTATCTTTATTGAATAAAATGGAAGGAATCTAATGTGACATCAGTTATTGCATACACATTCATGTACTTAACTGCAATTCAGTTGTTTAAATTGAAATAAGTAGATAGAGTAATATTTTTTAAATTGTAACCATATAAAGATATTTCCCTAAGACAGTTCACTAGTTCAATTCAATTATAATCATAATTAATGATTGTTTAATTATTCCGACCATTAAAATATAGAGTGAAATATTTTGTGGATATATTTTCGAAATAGAGCTTGACATTTTGATTGTTAATACACTTTTAATTTATTAGGTAAAGATTTATTTAAGCTACATGTTTCTTAATTTGAGAACTGATGACACCGTTGGGTTCGCCAAACTTAATTAGATGAAGTTGGAAGTCAAGCTTGTTAACCACCGCTAATAATGCACCCTTTCATGTAGACTGTTTTTTAACAACTTGAAATCAAAACATAGTGTACACGATAAACAATCATCTAGACTGGTGTGATCACATTGCACTTTGATCGGCAGAATTTGATCAACAGCAACGTAAACTAGACAAAGTATCAATCAGTTTAAAAACAATGTCCCTGTAAAAATGTTTATTTAAGAAACCTTACCGAAATGACAAAGTAGTTCTAATGCAAAAAACAATTTACTAAACAAAACACTTTGGTGTTAATGTGATCTTGGGGAGTGGTGCCCTAAGAAAACCACTTGTTTCGGTTCGGGCGTCCGGGCAGTATCCCAGAGCTCATAAAAACCAACTGATTTGTGGGGTGAATGTATATTTGGTGCCTTCTTGTACCAATGTTTATAGGTTTAAGTGAAAATAAATAAATAAAATGTCAACCAGCCAACCCATTTGTATCAATCGTTAATGTATTCGACCTTCAGTCACTAAGTCGCAGGTTAAAACTCACTCCTAAGCTTTATGGTTTGAGCAACCGGGTAGTACCACTACGTACCACACTTTGACTGTAACTAAAAGCTAACTATATGAATCTGTATGTGATTGACAATTTAGTAACAATAACAGGTAACCAACGTCATATCTCCCTAGTCTTAGGAGTACCATGATCTTGAGTCACGTGATCGGTGAGAAATGATCAGTAAAATGGACTAGAAATAACACGATATTATCAATTAGTGTTTGATCATAATAAACACACATATATATTTACAACAGTCTACAAGTAAGCGAAGTAACGACACCACAATCAGAAAGAATAATGAACTTAATATGAGAATTTATTTCAATAGAAGTGTACAAATAAATAAGTATGCTTATTTTTTCTCATTTGTCTTCCAAAGTAGTAGGCACATTCAAAATTCTAACTGATTTTCGTGCAATTTGGAACATGTGAAGACTGCTTCTGGTGCATTGGATCTATTTACTGTATCGGACAGAGAAGGTGGTAAGTGAAAATGCTGTGGAATGATGAAAAAGAAAAGATTAGAAGAGAGAAAAAAAGTGAAGACAATTTGATTAATCTATATTCTCCTAGGGAAAAATTATACAGTGATCCAAACTTGGGGACAGTGGTTCGGTTCATTAAAACACTCGGCTTTGTATAAGCATCTTTTCTATCTTTTTGTGCTCTATCATTAAGACTATTAACACCATTAACATAAAATAAAGTTCAACAACAAACTTTTTTCTATAAGAAGAAGCGAAAGTCCTCTAATTGTACTGGACGGCTGTTTCGTCCTATTGTGGGACTCCTCAACAGTGCGCACCCACGACCCCATCGCGCGGGATTCGAAACCAGGACTCCTCGGTCTCGCGCGCGAACGCTTAACCTCTAGACCACTAAGCTGGCCGGTATCCAACGGTGTTAATGTCTAACTTCAACTAATCCATGAAATTGAGCCGTCCAATAACAAATCAACATTAATCCCAAGAAAGTAAATGAAAGTAAAACTTGTCTCTCAGCTTCTTGCTTACTAATTGACAGGTAAGTAGTATTGTCTCCAAAAATTATTGTAGTATTCGCTAATTGATTTTAGTTTTATCCGATCAGTGAAAACTTGAGGACACAATTCTGTCTAAAAAGGGAACACCTTGAATAGGAGAACGAGCTTACATAACACTTTCGCTATCCAGAATTTTGAACAGACAGAAATTTTACGCTTTCACTCATCAGTTGAACTGTCATTGTAATTGAACTACCCTCTTCTAGAACATTATATAATAATCCTTAATGAGCAATTTACAAATCAATATCACTTAAAAACAAGAGTTCTACGCCATGTACACTTTCTTGAAATAACTTTTTGATGTGTGTTTGAAAAGCTGTATAGACATATGAATGAAGGTAATTTTTACCTGCACAACTAGTTGATGTCGTTTTATCTTGAAACACCATTCAAGTGTAGATGATCTAAAAGCCGGTTCAAGTGTATTCCCACTGATTAACCAAGGAATGTGAATAACTGTGAGTAGACCATCATATTCTGAATACACTGGATTCGCCTGTGTCTGGTCACGTAGACCTTGTACTCGAAACATATAATCGCAGTAATGAGATAGACGAGTCAATAGACCAGGCGGTAACTAAACGAAGAACAAGTTAAATAAACAAAACACGAATTAACATAGAGTCAGTTGGATATGAATGGATTTTTCATTTACTATCAACACACAGTTTGACAGAATAACAAACTGAAATATCCGAGTATATTATTTTATGTTTGTTAACAATGCTGAGTAAAATTAGTCACAAATATAGATGTAAACTAAATTTTCATAATTTACTAACACAAATAACGAACGCATATGAGTTACTGATTTTAGTATAAATCACAGTTTTCAACCGATAGTTTTCAGAATTTTAACAGTTTCATTCACGTAATCTGACCTCTTTATATATAACTGAGACCAATATTCATTGATTTCATAAATGAGTGCCATGTTATCATGTGATTACCATCTCTTCCCAGTCGAATCGTTCATTAATCATCTCATTTACTGAGTACATGTATGTACACACACAGACAGCGCGAGAGCTAGTGATACCACCCAGACTAGTCGAGTGCTTTGTCTACTAAACTATCGCTTATTAATCATTACAACACATCTCACTAAACAGTGGTTCAGCGGACATAATACATTACACCTGCTTCATTCTGTAAATATTTATAGTCTGACTGACTCACTTATTCTTCTATTACACTAAACCTTGACATTTTTAGCCGATAATTATACTACACATAAAGAGAGCTCGAAAAATACTGATGATCAAATACCTGTGAGAAATGCGTTTAGTACTCAGTTAATCTTATCGCTTTAGATCCAACACCATGGTGACTGGTCGTTGGATAGGTAAACAAATATAAGGTTAATTGGATAGTTATAAAATCAGTTAGATAAGTTTAGATGAACAAACAGTGAGAGATTTAGTGTTATTTTTATGTTTCGGTCCATAATTGGTAAAATGACCTACTGATATAATGAGCACGAATCAACTCTGATGGTCAAGTCTTATTTTATTGGTAAGTGACCAACAAAAATAACATTTCCTAAATACTTGTTTGTTGAGTGACATTTAATCACATTCACCTAGTATATAAGCAAGTCACTTTTCTAGATAACCCTTATTCTGTTGTTCGGTTACATTGTCCATTGAAACCGACTCATTTAGGGTGTATATCTCAATAATTCGCCCACATAAGCGGTTATCAATCCGCCACATCATACTGACACTCATTATTTTAACGAATACAAGAAGTGGACCATTATATTAACTCATTCAAAATCATCCTCCATAACACTAATCGATTAAAAATTGACAAACACTGGAAGCTTGAATATTTGTATTTTGAAAGGTGATCTGATTGAGTAGAGACAAACATAGAAATTGAAAATGGTAATCAATTTGAATAGTGGTGTTAAGTGAAGATTGGGCAAATGAAAAAAATTCCAAAAGATTTGTTGTATTAAGATTATTAAAATATACCGTCTGTTTTTGTAAGATTTATTGCTAGAATACTAACTGATGAGTTAGTTACAAACTCCATCCATAAAACATAAAACTTTTCAAGAGTTAAACAGATAAATCTGAGTTGTCTATTATCTCGCTTATTATACATTCCTCTTAAATGAGACAAAAATTGTTTTCCCTTGCTTAATTTAAATGACAACTCATAAGTCTACACTACATATGAGTGTTTGTTGATAAGTCAGTAGTTATAAGAATACACTCAGTTTGAGACAAACGTTTATTGATCTAAGCTGGCACATTTCACATCAACAGCATTAAGAGAGACTTGAGCACGAAATATTCTGATTTCATAACATTTGTTTTAATGGACTAGTATGGTCTCATTTGATAACCTTACTTAGCGACACCTCCGTAATAGTAAAAAGAATGTAAAGTATGGAATTAAACTCAGCAAAAAAATATTACATTATAAGACAGAACAAATAATGAGGAATCTTAAGCAGAACCTCACCTTTATAGTAGGTAACGTGACGAAAACTGTACAGTGACTGTTTTGAATTAGCAAGCGCAATGTAGCAAAGAAATTAAGCATATTCCTGTAGAACTGTTGAGTATCTTTGCAATAACCCCACATAGGAGAGCCGCATGAGTTTATCACTAAGGATAAAGTATTTCGAATGCTATACATGAATGAACAGCAAAAGACAAACCTATCCGTTGTATACCTGAAGACACTTTTGTGTTTGATCGAAAAATAACTAATTTTTGAATTAAACTGAAGAGATTGGCATGCAATCTATAATAATGAAATGAGACTTTAGTATTAAATAATTATTACGTTTTTTTACTATCCGGTTGGAAATAAAAAGTTGACACATTTTTTTCAGATATTCGAGCAGTTGCATTCATGGGTATGGTTACATTGAAATGATGCCCTAAACTTGATACAGATGAATTTACATTCTGGAAGTAAAGTGTCATGTAGGAATTAGAATGATGACTGAAACCTTAATGTTTGGGACATTTTGATAGCGCCAAGCGATTTTAAGATCGGAAATTTCTTCTTTGATCTCATTTGTAGAAGTCATATGATCTGGTAATTTCTAAAATATTACAGAGATATCGTGTTGGATTATATTTTAAATTATTCCTACACATAGTAAATTGTCAAACGTTTCCGTTGCACCATAGAATATACTATGACCCGATAATATACCTTCTGCTACGAACAAATTTAAGAGCAGTTTTGCATATGTTTGGTGGAAATCTGGCTCTTTAAATCAAAATTGAAATTAAAAACACTTTGTGTACCGTACCGATAAGAACTATACTTCCTGAGATCACACCACCACCTGCAAATATGGATGATACTAGTTAAAAAAGCCTTACCAAGTAATTCATCAAATGAAGGAATCCCAGTAGAAATTAAGAATGCGGATAGCTTAAATGAACGTTTCACACCATTCATGTCACAATTATATGTAACCAATACTCATGAAGAGTCACAATTCCGCTTTTACAATGATTTTTCAACCTGAAAATTTGAAAATGTCTTTTAAAAAAAACAAGAAAACTTGATGTAAAGACATTTATGCATAAATTCAGATAAGTATAGGTTTAGATTAAATAATTTCTTACCAGGGATTTGAGTTTCGAGCTTAATTTTATCTTGATTCGGACACTTGAAGAGTAAATTTATACAACAGAATTCATTGATAGACAGGAATTTATAGAATTTGCTTCATCTCTTGAACTTTAAATGATCAATATTAATAGGTAGTCCATATCAGAGGCCTTACTGATTGTTTTTAGGTGACAATGGTGTTTCTTAATAAATGTAAAACAATGAGTTACCACACAATAGTTGTAACTAGATTGATAAATACGGAGAATACAACAAACTCTGACAATAGATTTCCATTCGCCAGTTTTAGGTGATACCGCAATCTCTTCAAAAGTAGCAGTGGCGACGGACATAGTGCAAGCATGGATCCTGCAAAAGTGGGATTATTCCCGCGGCAGCAGCTGAGACTTATCCAGATACGAAAACTACGCCTACCTCACATATCAAATTCTACTACTGCACCCTCAAATGATGGCATCACAATATTACTGAATATCACTACTATCCCTGTGCTAATGTCACATTTGATATGTGGTCCCGTCGTTATGAGAACCTATTTGAATTAGATTTTGTCAATCAAAATGCTTGAAAGGTTCTCTTGATACTTCGATAATTCGGTCCAAGTAAGTTAGGTAGTTACGACAATTTGATTTCGCCTCTGAATACACCTGATCGCTCGTTTTCTGATACTGTTCAGTCATTAAGCCAACAGTTTAGAGATAACTCCTCATTGTTCAATACACATTATCGATGTTTAAAGATCATTAAGAACGAAGACGCTTACTTCCCCACACAGGTAGTTTCCTTAGGGGTACACTCCATGAGTTTTTGACCCAGAGGTCTAATCCACAAAATGGTAGAGCAACGTCAGGAGATGCATTCCCATGGTAGCCGGTGACCGGCAATGAGTTTACAAACCACTTTTCCCCTCATATGCACCATTGGTTTGGAGTCAGGGTTTTCCAACTCCCCTAGGTGGATCCTCCATATTCACCAAACAGGTCCTGTCAGCTGCTGCTGCTACCTTGACGCGGTGGTTGGGTTAGCCTATCGTAACGAATCAAGCGAGTTATACTGGCTGGAACAATCGTTCCTCAATGTCGTCTTATCTCCCTCCAAAGAACCAACTTGGAATAGTAACATTTCAAGAAACAAGTGTTCTAGCCTTAATAGTCCAAATAAGTTGTCACATTAAGCGAAAGTGAGTGACTTGGGGGCTTTCATCCATTGGGTTAAATATAATCATTCCTTTATGAGAGCAAGTAATACCTACCACGTTTTTAAAGTAGATATGATTTACAGCTTAGTGTACAAATATGTACGATGCTAAAAACTACTAATGATGTGCCAAACACAGGTTTGTGTGTTCGGCTTTCAGTTATACTTCTTGTGGAAATTGGTGATACTATCTGGTTGATTTTGAACGCAGCAGCTAGTTTTAATCTTCTCTAGACATGCCTTATCAACTTTTCAGAGGGATTCGGACAGTAAGTTTGCACAGCTCAGACCGATAACTTCATACAGCTGTATTAATATGCTGTGGTAGTTTAAATCGACTGACAGATGTGCCAAAGTTTATACTGCTTATAACTGATTGAAGCTATTGGGGTGTTTTAAAACGACAACCATGCCTTTATTCTTAGTCCACAATGATAACTGATAGATGGCTATAAACAGTATGTAACGAGATATGCAAAGCTATATTTGAAAGTCAAAGTAAAAAATACGGTGGTTTGAAAAAGACTTGTAAGCAACCTGAATCCCGAGATTTAGTAATCATGAGTTATTTGTACCCAATTATACTCATTTCGAATTAAAAATAAGGCAGAAACTAAACAGCACAGCAGAGTTGTCTTATTCGGTGAGGAATATATAGCTTTCGTGTACATTGACAGCACCCAGCAACAAATTCAGTTTGTTTCTTATGTTAAACGTACTGCTTCGCATCAAAACTTTAGACAAATTCACAGTGATCACAGTAAAATTAGGCTAATGGTATTAGTTATTACGAGTACGAAATCACTTCGAGGACACAGACGAAGTTTTAAGATAACCGCCAAAAGACCTTGTATGAGCTATTTCGGTTAATCAGGAGCCAATAAAGGTATGAGAGACTTAAATCACTCACTTCCTAGTGTGATAATTATCACACTGGCAATTAGGACATAATTTTAAGAACCCTGAAATACAGCTGGCGCCAATTTATGATGAGAGCTCTAGCCCAAACACCTGATTCTGACTCGTTTTTTGTTGATTTGGTAGTATACTTTAACTTGGTCACTAATTAGTTACTTGAGTCAGCTATCGCTCTATATAGAGCGATTGATCACTCGATAAAATTGGAAACTCTAAAGGCATGAACATTTAGCCCGGAAAATAAACTAAATATCACTGGATATTATTTTTCACATTTCATACGGTGTTTCGGAGAAGTATGCTTTGCAACACTCACACGATACACTCACCACGAGACATTACCACTAGCTCTGAGGGTCGCCAACAACCGCGCGGGTTCAATGTCTAATATTTTGTCACGAGCTTGCATAAACCACTTGATTTCTTTGCTCTTGCTTCTATTTGTTTTGATACTTTCCCTGACATTTGATTATGTTCAATGAGTGATAATCTATCCCTCCCTCCGATTCCATCAAATTTACTGCATTTGGTAGTTATTTATGAGTTTGTATATGCTGTAATCCGAATGAGTGTGTTTGTCTTAGGGAAGTAAGGCTTCTAGAAACCATCAGCTATCGTATTACAATGAAGAATATTGGTCGGTCGGAATGAGAAAATAATAACGTGATAATGTGAATGTTAATAGAAGATGTCGGTCTCAAAAATAACTAATCAATTTACTTAATATGTAAGACAGAATTAAAGGAATAAGGAGGGAACGGAGAAGATAATGAGAGAAATAAGAAGAAGCCACTGGTTATATTGTAATAGTACCTGCGTTAATTTGTGAGACACGCATCAGCCACAACTGATTAAAGAGGGGAATGGTAATCTATGGTGAGTACATGTTAGTCAAGTCTCCTCTTACAGGTATCAACTGAGGGGACTGAGGTCACTTCGGCTTGAAGGGCACTCCAAATGGAGGCAACTCTCGGTGATAAAAAGTCAAAGTGTAGTTTGATGTTTGTTCTTTCATGCGCGATTTCTCGAGGGTTTTTCGGGGAGCATAATGATAATGTTTTGGTAATATGCTCGCGTTGTGGTGGTTTGGCGTAATTAATATGTAGTATGACATTTTCTGATCGCCTCCCGGTCCCCTGTAACTTAGCCAGAATTATTCCAGGTGCTAGAGTCTGTCTTGATTAGATTTATGTTTTAGACCTATCAACCATTTCGTTCCCCATCTCTGTACTTGTCCTAAGAGATTCATATTTCTTTTGAAGAAAGAGGTTTAACGATGTTGTGGTCTTCAAAATTTAGTTAACGGTAATAGCTATGAGAAGGCTTGTGGAATAATCCATCTCAGTACATCGTTTCGAAAGTCCTCCGTATTATTGAGCAGGTTTGAGACACAGAAGGGACCGATTAAATTGTTGTGATGTAACGTCAATACCAAGGGCATCTACGTCCTTCAATACTTAAGAAATTGACGAGACTATAATTTATGGACAAACTAATCAGATTTAGGATATCAGGTCATGGATTTTGAGGCTGAATTCATTAATCCATTTGACTAAATGGAATCTTTGCATTTTTCATGATGTCAGTCCTTGACGAAAGCCCTAAATCTAGCTCCTAACCATAACCATAAACTGTGAATTATAATTCCAATCATTTACACTGCTACGTAACCCCCAGTTAGTCTTTCATGCCAGTAGCCCACATTCTATTGATAGAAGAAACCATACTAGTAGTGAATATGTCTTAATTTAGCTCGTGGGAAAACCCATAGTGGAGCGCGAGGTTACCTATTCAAACACACAAAGCTCTCCAACATTAAATACAAGATAATGGGAAGTATTGTGTCTATACAAAATAAGGTTGAGAATGTTTACTTGAGCTTTATTGCTTTGATATAACTGTCTTATGCGTTCTAAATAGTCTTTGCTCAAAACCACAAAGACTGAGTTAAAATCGATCTTATGACCCTTATCAATTTTGTTTTTACCAATGAAAAAAGATAAATGTTTATCAGCTTGACTTTTTGCGTCATTCGATATTACTTTGTAGCGGTAAATAAATCCCCAAAATTAATAGCTCTGTAAGTTTTCGACATTGGATGCTGACCACAGTTTTAGTGGACTCATCTAGCTGAAGGCGCTCGGTCAAGCATCCGCACCAGATCACGTGTGGGAACGCCGTGCTCAACATCTGAAGTGTGGATCTAGTTTCTTCAATGGTGAGGACCTTTGTTGAATTGTACATTTGACTAGAAACTAATTTTAATACAAAACTCTGTGAATCACCTATCGATAGGTGGACACATGAACAGAAGGTTGTAGGATCAGCAAGATGTCACTGAACCCCAGCCAAATCATCCGGTTGTTGGGTCACTGAATGTCGAAAAGTTCATCGATCCACATCAGCGTCAGGGACAACCAACGCGGGTCAATTAGTTGCACGCGGTAGTAATCTCACCTTATCCTTTGTACCTACTTCTACTGAAACATTTCCGTAATAATGTCCTTTGTGTTGTGTAGTCTGCAAAGCAGCCATAGTACCTTGATATGTTCGGGGGATAATCCACGTTAGGTGTTGGCTGCGAGGTGTGACTTCAAAGTTAGCTGTTGATCACAACATTCCCGTGAAACTCGAGTGGGCCTACAATCATTCGAAATAAATCACCTGCTTTGGTGATCTACAAGCTTTTGATACCAGAACTGATGTAAGTTTCACCTTAGTAGAACCCTTCCACCGTTCAAATTATTTTATTAGATAATCACCTTCCATCAATACCTAGACCGGATGGTTGTCATACAGCAGCACTTCAGTGGCAATAATATACACGCTATTAGACATGTGGCATTCAGGACAGCTTAATACTCCTAAAAGAAGTTGAGATTTGAAATGGAACAATTCTTTTTATATTGTAATAGCCAGCTATCTGAAGATAAAGTAAAATCAGAAGACAAAAAGAGATAACAGTCAATCAAGTAGTAACGAAGACCAGTGCGGAAATATGTTTGAAAAATGCCATCGTAGTTATACTTCAGGGAAATTTTTGAACTAGCCTCTGATCTTTCGTTAGATGATAGAGTTAGAAAGCTTAGATTATCGATCTCACATATTTCGCAGCACAAAAAACAATTCGAACATATGGTTCGACCATTTAGATGTGCATATATTATTATTAATAACGCGTACAAATAATAAAAAACTAAACAACCAACTGATATATATAAAGAATGTTTAACTTCAACCAGAGGTTTTCGGCCAACCCTTAACCACCTAACTTTGGCTGCTACAAACCAAATAACATATAATGACCAAGATATAGATAGCTTGAACTACCCTTAGCGGTTTGTTTTTACACATTTTCATCAGAATTTGTCACATTTACTGATAAGTTATCTTATGAATGTGGACTGATGTCTCATATTAACAGTTGGGCATTTCGATACTGCAATGAAAAGTCAAAGGTTATCAAAATTCTGTGATATATGTGTGCAATACATTTCTAACAATCTGATCACATATATTGTCATGTGAAACAGTTTCAACGACATTGTTATCTAATTGATCAACTATATTTCTAAAAACTGTATGTTTCCGGCAAGCTTTGAAATTTGGTTCAAAGCCCCTTCTCATTTCGCTTTTATTCTACATCATTTCAATTGACGTGTATAAGTAGCACGAAGTCATAGAAAGTGGCGAGGAAGACAGAAATAAGCGTTTCAGCAGAAAAGCTTATTACTTTTATATGTTTTTACACATATTTGCACACGCATCTGCGAAAATCTCCCCTTGTTTATATTTTATGTGTAAACTGCTGTTGAAGTATATGCGTTATTGATGCTGCTTATGTTATTGAATATTTGATTAGATTTTACTGGAATTGTACTCCAACTATTTATCCAATAAGATGTCCCGAATAAACTGGTGCCGCTTGTCATATAGTATGGAGAATTACATGTTAGATCTAAATCGGACTTTTACATATTACACTTTTTCAGATATTAATTATCTAATGCTGTCTTCATAACTCTGTTTTGTGTCCTCATCCATTTTCTTGTTGTTGTTGGGTAAATATATCCGGTTCTCGTCAAAATTTTGTTTTGACGTGACCTATTTAGGTCAGGATCAGGCGAATCATATTGTTTTAATTCTACTACTCGCTGTCATTTAGATTGTTCGTTTCAATTGCGAACTTGACAATAACGCTTCATGATTGCGATGACTTGTGTCGTGTGATAAAGAGTTAGATGAAACAATCTTGGTATCTACAAACAATTACAGCTCAAATATTTAATTACTTCCCCATTCTGCGTAGGCATTATATCTCTTATTATTCCGCGCTGAATTTAGAAGCTCTGTGTGTTTAAAAACGATGGCTTCAAGTAGCCGTATAGCTGTAAACCTGCTTGTTTAGGATTGATAGTTGTGCATAAGCAGGTGGCATTGTAATTTCTGAAGTGAAGCAGTTTGGAATGAGGAATAACTATTTAGGTTATCTTGGGCACGCGTTATCGTCCAGTAGGAGTCATAACCGAAAAAATGGGTAAATGGTGCTTCTAAACAGACGTTACCACCTAGTTATTCGTCCCATAATTATTCAGTCATTAGTCAAATAGAATGCAACAAATAAATGTTCCTAATAACACCGGAATGTTATTCCATCCTTTCTGGTTAGCCCACATATACATTGTTCGAAAGATAATATTTAATTTTGCTATAAAATTGGGCTTTTGCAGTTCTGTAACATTGCTTCAATTCACAATCAAAAATGCAATATTGCAGGAGATAGAAAGGTATATTTAATATGAATAGAAGAAATAAGTTATACAAGAATGGTTCAAATGGTTCAAATGGTTGTGGACGGAATAGAAGAAGCTTTCACTTAACAGGCTTCCGTATCTAGTATCAGGGGATCACCAATGCCTCCAGGCAAGAACCTAGGTATATTAACGATAAAAGAGAAAAAAATGAATTGGTAAATCATAGTAAGATACCATCCTTAGTCCTTAAGAATAGATCAAGTCGCCTCTTAAAGGACTCCTGGGAAGTTGCTTGGACTAGCTCAGCCGGCAGCGAATTCCAGCATTTGACAACTCTTAAGGAGCAGAAGTCGTGCCTACAGTCCGTTCTATTATGTTGTATCTCCAATTTCTGGGTGTTATCCCTTAGTTTAGTGTTGGAACTAAGCTTAAGTAGGTGTTTAAGAGGATGTCCAGGAGTGTTAAGGATACTGTAAGCCATTAGAAGGTCACCTCTAAGACGCCTATACTCTAACGGGTAAAGGTCAAGTGAATGACCACGCATGCAAGACTGAGACATGCTATCCGATTGAATGTTCCTACGTCCGTCATTGTTGACCTTATCTTAGTGTTGAATGTTGAATATTTA